GCTGAGCCTCGCCACGCCAGACTGCTCGACCCAGTAGCCCCAGTACGCGGTCAGCGTGAGCCCCGACGCGTCGACCGCCTCCAAGAACTCCGGCAGCGCCTTCGGGCCCCTGAACGGCCAGGACGGGTCGTCCTGAGGCTTCAGGGCGGCTATCACCGAGCTCAGCTGGACCCGCTTGCCCTGAGCCGGCGGCGGGAGCGGCAGGATCCGAGGGTCGCGACCAGGACCCCGCCGCTTCTCGGCCACCCAGTGCGAGTGGTCCTCCGCTTGCACGTTCTCGATGGCCACCCATCCAGTCTCGTCGTCCACGAGGGCCAGCCCCACCGCGTCGCGCCCCACGAACCGGTCGGCGTTCGCGGCCAGGCCCGGCTCGACCTCGTCGCCGAAGCCCTCGACGGCGGGATCCGCGATCACCCAGCGAGCCACCCGCGCGCCAGGTGGGGCGGCTGGCACGGCAACCCCCAGCACCCGGGCGAGGTTCCGCCCCTCGATGCGCAGGTGCTCCAGCGCGTCCTGGTCCAGGTCGCCGAAGGCGTACACGTTCCCACGGACGCGCTGCGGAAAGGGGGCGTTCCGCGTGAGCGCAACCACGAGGTGCGCCGAGAGCTGCAGCACCAGGACCTCGCCGTCCGGCGTCGCGGCCACCCACTCCCCAGGCGCGTGCCCAGGGACGAGGAGCAGCCGGTGGTGCCACCGGAAGTTCTCGTCGTCGTCGTAGTTGATGCAGATCTGGCTCTCCGCGACGTCGAGCGTCCTCGGCCCCGCCGCCATCAAGCCCTGATGGCACGGAAGCGCGCCTGCCTGCCGTCGCCGCGGTCGACCTCGACGACGCTGCCAGCGCCGCCGTCGCTCTGCGCGAGGAGGAGCACCGCGCGCCTCGCGAGGCGCCGCACACCTCCCAGGCCCACGGCAAGCGCCCACGCCAGCACGAGGCCAGCGGTCAGGCCGAGCCCCAGCCCAGCCGCGAAGCCCCAGCAGGCGGCCGGGGCGGGCGAGTCACAGACCGCCGCCGCCGCCTCCTCGCAGGCCGCCGCTGGGCAGGCCGGGCAGGAGGCCTCTGGACCCGCAGCCCAGCTGACCGCCGGGCAGCCAGGGCACGGCGGGCACGCCGGGCAGGAGCCGCAGTGCGGCTCGCAGCGGAGCTCCGCCGCTGGGCAGGCCGGGCAAGGCGGGCAGGGCGGCGGCCGCGCCACCCAGGCGGCCCCCAGCTGCCCCAGCCAGGGCGCCGCCGTGCAGAGGGCGCCCAGCATCCACCGCGGAGGCTGAGCCGGAGCGGACCCCCGAACGGCTTCGAGCCAACACATCACCACGGGATCAGACTGCACAGATCAAGAGGCTCCGTTCAAGGAAAAAGAGTCGAACGACAGACTATATATATATATATACACACACAAACACCCTCCGAGAAACGTCGTATGTACCTTCAGGGAGGGCGGCGGTGTATGAAATCGCTGGCTCCGAGTGGTGAGTTGTGCACCGCTGCCCTCCCCTGAGCCCCTGAGGCCCAAGAACAATTCATTGAAGGGTACTGGCGGAGCGTCAGACATACCTCGAAGAGGCCCGACGAAGGCCACAAGACGGTCCCAAATGTCCCACGACGGTCCACGAGGCCAAAATCATTCAAAAACCGATTGGAAATCAACGATGCCTGACGTCTCCCCTTTTCGCTTCCGATGCGCCTTTGAGGCTTCAAAGCGGCCCTCAGATGGCCCAAAAAGGCCCGACAGAGGACCAAGAGGGGCCCAAGAGGCTCCCCAAACAGAGGAGCCCCCCAAAAGGGCCCCAAGAGGCGACTCTGTTGGCCAGACGGGGGGGGACTATAGCCTCAAATCTGATCTTAAGAGGCCATACGGGGCTTCCAAGAGGGCCTCAAGCGAGCCCCAAGAGGGCCTAAGAGCACCCCGAGACGCCCCCAAGAGCGCCCCGAGAGCGTCCCAAGAGGGCCCCAAGAAGCGGTTTGCCTCCTCCTCCGTATCTTCCTCCTCCTCTCCCGCCTCCTCCTCCTCCTCCTCCTCCTCCTCCTCCTCCTCCTCCTCCTCCTCCCCTCGCCCACCAGCGGGCCCCAGGGATGGCCCGAAGAGGCTCTTCAAAGCCACTCCATTGCTCACCCTTGCTCCCGGACATCTCTCTGTTCATCCTGGTTGCCCGACCTGTTTCACTATGTGTGTGTGTGTGTCTCTTCGTCTCTTTTCAGGTCAGCTCTGGGCAACGTTCCTGAAGGGGTTGATGGGGATACTGTTTTGTTCGCGAGCGCAAGCGGAAGTACCGAGCGCAGCCCAAAGCTACAGCCTAACCAGCCGGGGCCCAAATTGCACGCGAGAGGGAGGAGAAAAGAGGCAACACGAGGAGAGGAGAATAACAGGGGATATGTCGACCCCTATCCCAGGCTTCGTGGAGTTTCCGAATGGACCAGAAATTTAGGGCCTAAGCCTGGGATATACGATGGGGGGGTGTCCATTCTCGATAGGGGTGCGTCCGAATAGCCCCCTTGGGGTGTATCCCAGGGTTTTCCCATTCTTCTGAGCGGCCAGACTTTTCGGGCGAAACTCGGGGATTCGGGGAGAAACATCGCCTGCGAGAGAAGAGAAACAACGAGAGAACAGCGGGAGGTGAGACGAGCCGGGGCCGGCCGCGCGGCGCTCACGGAGGGGGTGCCATCGGCGGCAACTAACGGCTGGAGGTGCACGCCAAATGGCGGGTAATTGGCTGGCGGGTGGTGTCCCGTGACTGCGGAAGCCGCAAGCGCCTGCATCTGTACACCCTGCGAAATGCTTTAGAAATCATGGGTTAAGAAATTCATAGTCTCAGAATTTGAATCAAAACCCAGAATGTCTATTCAAATCTTGGGATTGACATTGAAACGTTCAGAATAATCGAGACTCTGGCCGAAAACTTGGGTTTTCTTAAGCATCGCCTAAGGTGTACGAGGGGCAGCACGCGGGGGGCTGAGCGCGGCAAGGGCTACGCATCCCTGCAAAGGGAGCAAGCCTCCAGGTACGTCGAAGCCACTGTGGGTGGCGGCGGAAGATGAAGGGGATACGCCAAACGTGAACAAGCTTCTCATTATCCCCCTCCTCCTTCTCCTCCTTCTCCTCCTCCTCCTGCCCCGTACCGCGCGGACGAAGACGATGTCGAGATCACAACCCTCCCCAATTCAGACCACTCGCTGAACTGCAGCGGTGTGTGAACTCGACCTCCTTCCTACCGGGCGGACGACGACGAGGTCGCTTACCTGACCACTCGACGGAATTGCGCTATTCCTATACTCAGACTCCTTCCTACTGCGCTGTTGCACAGGCGCGGTGAGGGGGTTGCCGCAGACAGCTGTATAAAACGAGAAAAGAGCAAACAGAAGAAGATCAATCTGAAAATTCAGCCGCCATCACGCCCATCATTCATACTATGTTCGGCAGCGCAAATAACGGATTTCGTCCAAGAACGACCTGGGGAATCCACGAATTCGTAATTGCGACTTCCTGCGACAAATATCCTCACATAGTTCACGGAATTCACTGAGCACGTCGTCATGTTGATACGGCGTGGGACATATTACCCTCATCCCTATACAATGGTACCGTTTCGCGAAAGGCCTGGCATTGAAGTCATACATTTTATCCGCAAGTGGTCCGATGTTCAGCTTAATCATCGTCAGTAGACCTCGCTCGTGCTTTGACCAGATTCATAAATTAACTCTTTTCCAGACGCGCCTCTGTTCGTAATCCAAGGCAAGGCGCGAATCGTTCTGATCCCAGCAGGCGTTAACCAATCATTCCCTCCTCTCGCACAGCCTAAGACACAGTGGCGGAGGAACATATCCTGCCACGACTGAATCTTGAGCGTTGCATTTTGGAAACGCAACAAACTAACGAAAAACGTTCACCTACTGCGTTCACGAACGTCACTGCTGAGTGGTGTTGTGCACACATGCGCTGTGTGCTCTATGCGCTGACCCTCTGATTGTCGTCTTTTGGTATCTCCAATCATACCTCCATTTCACTGTCGAGACTAAGAAAAAACACCCTCGGGGGGGGGATGCTCAAATTCCAGGCCGCTCTAGGGAACCTCCCAGCCCCCTGGAAAAGTTCTCCGCTTGCGCGAGAATGGGATTTCTCCGCCGTCGGATGCAGAAATCGTGGATTCAGGCTCTGAAGAGGGAGCTTTTTGAGGCATCCTTTGTTTTCTGGCAGTGGACGGCCCCTCCGAGGCGCATTCGTAGTTCCTGCTGGCCAGAACCAGTGCCGGGCCACCTCAGACCCCCAGACGGTTCCCAATCCAGAGCCTGGTCCGACTCCGCAGAAACAGCCCGAACCGCATCGGGAAGCCAGGTCGGATCGGAGCGTGAGCCGCATCGGGCCGCATCGGCACGGGGACTGTTTTTATCGGGCCGCATGGGGCCCTCAACCGCGTATCGTCCTGATGTGTTTTCCAAACCGAATCTGTCCGGTCCATCCAACATGGTGCCCTCACTGCAGCGAGTCCGTCATTTCCGGATCGGAGCTCTGCCCCCGTCGTTCAGAATGGCGCTCTCGCCGAAGTGCGGGCCACTTTACTGGATCCGAGTCGATGATCATCGTTGTCGCCCCACTCCTTTCGCCTCCTCTGCCTTCCCCTGGTCCTCCTGCTCCTCCAGCTCCTTCCACTTCAGTTCTTTGCTGCTACTGGTCGTCCTCGTCCTCCTCTTTCCTCATCCCCATCCCTTTTTAAACTGATCATCCTCCTGCTCATCAACCGCCTCCTCCTCCTCCTCCTCCTCCTCCTCCTCCTCCTCCTCCTCCTCCTCCTCCTCCTATGTACGCAACTCCACTTTTTGTCCGATCGGTCGCGCATCACACGGTAGGGTCTTTTTTCGGAGTTCCAGGTCACCTGTGCCACGCGCCCAAGGAACGGGTGGGAAAGGTCGGGTGTCAGCTATGGCGCGGGCGCACCTGGCTTGACCCTGCCGCCTCCGCGGCCTCCCCCGCCGTGCCCCGGCCGTGCCCCGCGCGGCCGCGGCGGGGCGCCCACTCGGGCGAGGACTCGTAGAAAAACCCGACGGACAGGAGCGTCACCTCCGCCCGCGGGCGCGACGCGGCGGCCGCGAACGCCTCATGATGATGATGGTGAGGAGGAGGAGTAGGTGGAGAAGGAGGAGGGGGATAATCATGAAGAGGAGGAGGAGGAGGAGGAGGAGGAGGAGGAGGAGGAGGAGGAGGCACCCCCCCCAGAGCGCGTCGGCCACCCACTGCCCGGGGCAGCGGGACCAGAAAACAAGCGACACCCGCTCACCCACGGCCCTGCGGCCGCGGGGCGGGGCTTGGCGCATACCAGGAGATCTTGCGCGGGCTTTGGCGTAGTATACACCCTGCGAAATGCTTAAGAAATCATGGGTTAAGAAATTCATAGTCTCAGAACTTGAATACAAACCCAACATTTCCATCAAAATCTTAGGTTTTACATTGAAACGTTAAGAATAATCGAGACTCTGGCCGAAAATTTAAGTTTTCTTAAGCATCGCCTAAGGTGTATAAGCTACGGCCCAGGACGGGCCGTAGCGCAACATGGAGGGCCGCAGGTAGCGTGGTTTGGTTTGTGCCTTTTGAACCACACGCACGAGTGACCCTAGGCAAGGAATGACCTGTGGTGCGCGGCTACAGCCTGGGCCAAACCTGGGCACGCAAGCCGCTGCTACAGCTTCGCGCACACGATTGTTGTTTGGTCGAGGCCACTCGTGCAACTAGGAGTGTCGATTCGTTTGGTGTCGTCGGCTTCGGCTTCTCGTCAGTGCTTGCCTCCGGGGGCCCCTCTCGGGACCCAGGGGCCATCAGAGACGGACACCAGGGTGCAAACGAAACCCCCTGTGATAACCACCGTCGAATGTATTCCTATTCCCGAGATTTGACAAGCGAAAAGGCGATGACAATATTAGGGACGCGCCCTCAGAAGCTGAGGGAATCCCTAAGATCGGCATCGAAGTAAGGCGATGCCAGGCATTGGGGCAGGGAGGGATCTGTTTTAGTATGTCTTAGAACCCCATTCAACGACATCGCCAGGGGGCAGCCGAAATTGTTTCACGAGGCCGTGGGAAATATTTCAAATGTTATTTCAATGTTAAGGAAAAGGGATGCGAAATATTTCCGTTCCGCGAACTATTTCAAACAATATGTTCCGCCTGGGCGACAACTTGCCCGGGCAAGAAACATAATTGCCCAGAATATTGCTCAGCGGGAAAACTCTGCTCGGCAGGATTTGTCCTGCCTGGCGGGATCTTTCCTGCCGGAACAAAATCGATTGACATAAGTGTGGGGCAGGCAGTTGTTTCAAGCGCTTCCCGAATATATATATATATATATATACTAGAACCATCGCGCGCGCTTCGCGCGCGCTCAAGTTCTAGCAGGCCCCAGGCCTTGAAAAATTCACTGCTCCACTGAAGTAGTGGACCACAGTCCACGCATCCCAATCTGCATTCCGAAAGGCCTTCGAGGAAAATGGTTGTGTAGGGGGGCGGAGGCCGTATGAATCGGGTTCCCAGAAGGCCTTCTGGGAGCATGGGTTTGGGGCGTTTGGGGGAACCTGTTGGGGCGTGCCGTCGTCGTCGTCGTCGTCGTCGTCGTCGTCGTCGTCGTCGTCGTCGTCGTCGTCGTCGTCGTCGTGTTGCTACGACCCATTCCCGAACCTGACCTTGGGGGTGGCCTAACCTGGCGCAGCCCCGATTGGCAACAAACCCGACACGTTCCGTCCAAACGCCAGGTTCGCACTCGCCCTGCACGAAAGGACGGCAGCTGCGGTCGCCAGTTGTCTCGCGCCGAGTCCGTGCGTTTTACTACGGGGGCGGGCTGATGTTTGCCTCTTGAAGGCCCTCTTGGGGCCCTCTTCGGCCATCTTGAAGCCATCTCGGGCCCTCTTGGGCCTCGCTGAGGCTGTCCTGGGGCCCTCTATGGGCGTCCTCGGAACCAGGAAGTCGTGTTCCTGGAGAGGCTTCGGGGAGCATGATTTCGAACGGGGCCCTCTTGGGCCTCCCTGAGGCCGTCTTGGGGGCCTCCTGGGCCGGCTTCGGGGCCTCTTGGGCCGTTTCGGGGGGTTCGGTGAGCCCCACAGGCCGACCCCTTTGGGCCGTCTTGGGCCCTCTTGGGTCTCTCTTGGGCTGTCTTAGGGCTCCGCGGGGGCGTCTGGGCCCTGCGAAGACGAAGCCAGCGAGCATACCGAAAACGCACGTTTTACAAAGGAAATGCGCCGATTTGTGCCTCTTGAAGGCCCTCTTGGGGCCCTCTTCTGCCATCTTCAAGCCATCTCGGGCTCGGGGGCGTCTGGGGCACTGCGAAGACGAAGCCAGCAAGCATGCTGAAAATGTACGTCTTACGAAGGAAATGGGCCGATGTTTGCCTCTTGAAGGCCCTCTCGGGGGCCCTCTTCGGCCATCTTCAAGCCATCTCGGGCCATCTGGGGCCTCGCTGAAGCTGTCTTGTGGGCCTCTTGGGCGTCCTCGGAACCCAGGAATCATGTTCCCGGAGAGGCTTCCGGGAACATGATTTCGAACGAGGCCCGCTTGGGCCTCCCTGAGGCCGTCTTGGGGGCCTCCTGGGCCGGCTTCGGGGCCTCTTGGGCCGTCTCGGGGGGTTCGGTGAGCCCCACAGGCCGACCCTTTTGGGCGGCCTGGGGCCCTCTTGGGTCTCTCTTGGGCTGCCTTGGGACTCCGCGGGGGCGTCTGGGGCACTGTGAAGACGAAGCCAGCGAATATACAGAAAATGTTGTTTTACGCAGGAAACGTGCGGATTTGTGCATCTTGAACGCCCTCTTGGGGCCCTCAGGGGCCCTCTTGGGGCTCTCTTGGGCGTCTTCGGGGCCTCTTGAAGCTTTCTTGACCATCTGTACGGCCCGCGTGGCCTGTCGTGGGCAATTTGGAAGCGGCCCGGGGCAGTCCCAGGGGGTCTCTGACCCCCCAAGGTTCGGGGGGGCGGCCATGGGGGATGACGGCACCGATTTTGGCCCCCCCGATTCTAATCGAGGTCACGGCAAGGCTCTGGCAGAACTGTTCCGTGCATCGTCATGTAATAGCTATCAGTGCAAGACAGGCAGGAGGATAACATACAGAGGAAGAAAACGTGTGCTAAGACCACGAAGAGCAGCCGCAGCAGCAAGAGGATCAAAGGCAGAAAGACGATACGCCAGGACAGTGAAGGACAAAGGGAACACCCGAACGCAAGCAGAGGAATTATGTTCCCGGCAGGTTGTCTGGGAACATATTTCTTAAGGCGGGGAGACAGCTCGAGAAGCAACAGGAGACGGACGAGGAGCAGTCTCGGGGCCGTCTTGCGGCCATCTGGGAGCCGTCTTGCGGCTGTCTTGGGCCGTCTTGCGGCGATCTTGGGAGCCTCTTGGGCCATCTTGGGGCCGTCTTGCGCGCGTTGGAGCCGTCGTGACTCATCTGGAGCCCCTCGTGGAGCCCTCCAGAGCTGTCTTGGGGCCTTCCAAGAGCCGTCGTGGGAGCCGCTTGAAACCCTCTGGGCCGTGTTGGTGCGGTGTAGAACGCGTCGTAGGCCGTCTTGGAGCGTCGGACAGGCGGGAAGATCTACATGCCAAACATCTGCGTTTCCCCTAAGGAATTCAACGATTTGTGGCTATTGAATATGTTCGAAATGCTGTGGGAGCCATCTTGGAGCGTCTGGAGGGCCTGGTGGGCTGTCTTGGGAGCCTCATGGAAGCCACTTGGGGCCTCTTGTGGCCTCTTCGGAGGCCTCTTGAGACTGAGGGCTCCAATTTTCGGCGAGGGGGCCACGATCCTCGTGAGGGGTGCCAAAAAATTGCCCGGGGGGCCGCCATGGCGACCAGAGGCAGCAGCCGCCCCCCCCGGCCTACTCCGATATATATATATATATATATATATATACACACACATGTTATATATATATACAAAATATACATACATACATACATACATACATACATACATACATACATACATACATACATACATACATACATACACACACATACATACATACATACATACATACATACATACATACATACATACATACATACATACATACATACATACATACATACATACATACATACATACATACACATATATACTTATATATACTTATATATATATATATAAACCAGACTCCCGGGATCTGGGGCGTTGGGACCCTCCGGACGGGCCTCGAAGCGGCCACCGGCCCCGCAGGGCGCTTTGCCCAGCCTTCCCAGCACACCTAGGGCGATCGGGGGGGTCATCGGAGACGTCCCAGAGACCCCCAAGACAGCACAAGAGCGCTCCAAGAGTGACCGACGTGACCTCAAGATGGCCCAAGAGGCCTCGAGGACAGCCCCAAAAAGGCCTCCAAGAGCACTCCCAAGAAGGCCACACGAGGCAAAAATCATTGATTTTCTAAAGGTTTTTGGTGAAAATGGAGGTTCTCCTCTTTTCGGCTTCCCGACGCTCCGAGACGGCAGTCTTCTGGGCGACCGAAGCCACCTGGGAGGCTCCCAAATCGCCCCACAACCATCCGAAAGGGCTTCCAGGCAGTCCAAGAGAGCCCCAAAACGGCACAACACGGGTCCAAGATGGCCCTCAGAGAGCCCCATGGCGGCCCAAGATGGCCCAAAGACACCTGCCGAAGAATTCCAAATCGTGATTCGGTCGTTCAGTGAAACCGCGGTTGGAGGCAGGGTGGCCCGAGGAAGCCCCCGGAGGCCCCCAGAATACGCCCAGGAGGCCTCCAGAAGGCCTTAAGAAAGCCTGAAACAACTTTTATGAGGCCCCTAGAGGCTCTCCAAGGAGGAGCCTCCGCAAAAAAGAGCGGAGGAGGAGGGGGAGACTGCGCAGGATATGGCGAAAATAAAGAAGAAGCATGGAGGAAAGATAACGAATAACATTACTATAGCGGCGATGCCGGAAAAAGCAACCAGGAGTTACCGTTAAATTGTCGGTTTGACTTTCCTGCTATTCCGCCTGCATGCCAAACTTCAAGGACCAAGGTGCATGGCGTGAAGCGCCACTGCAGCCTTGTATGTATATATACATATACATATACATATACATATACATATACATATACAT